GGCTCCTTATTAGTCCTTGTAACTTATGTTACCCCATTATCCTTATCTATTTTAGCCACATGGGCTCAGTACCTTTCTCAGTGTGACAGCTTACATGTTGCCTCTTCAGTGGTCTGCACAGGAGTGGCAAGAGAGCTTCCTGTGTCCCAGAAAACTCCCAGTCTCTTTGCTCCACCCCTACTTCCTGTCTGGCTTTCCCGCCTATACTTCCTGCCTGGCCAATCAGCGTTTTATTAAAATACATGATTGACAGAATACAGATAATTCTCCCGCACCACCTAGGAACACTTAAAACAACCAGCTTCACTCAACCAACACCAATATTCTCCAAAAGTCAAGGAACCTCTTTTCTAAATTAGTATTGACAAGCTACAAAAAGCTTTGTTTTCTAGACTAATAAAATTTAAGGACATCCCATGATTGGCAATGAGTCCAAAAATCACCAAAGTGATTTGGAACAAAAGTTCCAAAGAGCTCCCTCATGAGCTATATCATATAAGGAGTCATCTTCAAAGAGCTTTTCCTCCACAACATCAAGGAGGACTCTGACCCATACTTCCTAAACACCTGTACACTGTACTGTATATATATTACCAAAATGATGTTTTACTGTATGTCATTATATCTTAAACAAATTTTTAAAGTTTCACTAAGCCTACTTTTCCACCTGGAAATTGAAAGAAGGGGAAGGTGGCTCAGTGAATAAAGACTTACGTTCTGCAAGCACAAATCCCTAGAGTGCACATAAAAAAACCTCAGCTTAGCCATGCATTCATGTAACCTCAAAATGAGGGGATGAAGACCAGCGGGTCCCAAGAATTCACTGGCTAGCCATCCTTGCTGATAGGGTCAGCATCCTGTTAATAAGAGACCCTAACTCAAATAATCACACGGCAATATAAGACACCTTAAGTTCTGTTCAAGACCATGCATACATTTGAATTCTCACTTGCACACACATACACATTTTCTCTCACACAAAAACTGCTACCTCATTGGATAATGAGGCCTAAATAAAATACCTGCGACAAAGTGTCTAACAAACACCTACAAATGGGTAGCTGTAGCTATTATTAGCGTCTTGTTACCATCATTTTTACCTATTTAAAGTAATGCTAAAAATGCCAAATATTTGCCAGGCAAGAACTCTGAGTTACATCTTTAACACATATTTTTTTTGGTTTTTGTTGTTGTTTTGTTTTTCAAGACAGGGTTTTCCAGTGTAGCTTTGGAGCCTGTTCTGGAACTCACTCTGTAGACCAGGCTGGCCTCAAACTCACAGAGATCTGCCTGCATCTGCCTCCTGAGTGCTGAGATTAAAGGCGTGTGCCACCACCATCCAGCTTTTTTTTTTTTTGAGATAGAATCTTATATATCCCAGACGAGTCTTGAATTCACTGTATAGCCAAAAATGACTTCAACTTCTTACTTCTTATCCTCCTGTATTGTCCCCCTTAGTGCTGGGATTACACAGGTGCCACCACACCTGGTTTATACAATCCTGGAGATCAATCAGGGATTTCTGAATGCTAGGCAAGGACTCAACCAAATAGCTATGGCCCCAGCCGTCACAATTTATTTTCTCTATTCTCTTGTGCCGACAGCGTGTGTGGAGGTCAGAGGACAACTTCTCAGGAATCAGTTCTCTCCTTCCACTTTACTGAGACAGGAACTCTGTTTTTGCTTCTAGCCAATTCTGTTGTCTCTGCCTCCCATCTCGCTGTAGAAAGGCTGGAATTAGAGGGTTCTGGGTTCATGAATTCAACTCTACCACTTCCAAAGAGTATCAAAACTGGGCTTGCTGACTGCTAAGCTAATGTTCTTTCACAGGAGGAGGGGGTAGGAAGGGTCACTGGATCCTCACCTGAGTATCCAAACACTAATCCCAGTCATCTGTATGCAATACTGCGCTAACTGCACATGGCTCCTTGGGGAGGGGCTAGTCTTAGGGAAGCCATCATCCACTTTGCAATGTGGCTTTTAGGCTGGAGATAACCCCAGTTAGCTCACTGATTCCTCAGTGTGAACTTTGGTTTGTCATTAGAACCTTAGGACAAGATGGGGAGAGGCTGCCCTCTCCTTCCAGGGCAAAATTTCTCACAACACATGACAAGTGTTTCTACCCACCAAACCATCTCCCTGGCAATTCCTGAAATTTTAAAATATCTTTATTGAGTATTTCCTCATCCTGTGACAGAACATCCACCTGATCTAAAATCTTTAAAGAACTTCTGGGTCAGTAAGATGGCAGTAATTGGTGGCACTTACCACTAAGCCTAACAACCTGAGTTCAATTCCTGGAACCCACAAAGTGGAGGGAGAGAACCAACTCCTGTAACTTTTCCTGACTTCCACACATGCACCACAGCACGTGTGCCCATATACCTACAACATTAATATTATTTTTCCAGATTTGTTTTATTATTTCGTGTTTATGAGTACTTTGCTTGACCATATGTGTGTGCACTTCATGTGTGTCTGGTGCCCCGAGAGGTCCAAAGAAGGCAGATCCTCTAGGACTGGAGTTACAGACAATTGTGAGCCACAATGTGGTACTAGGAATCCAAACCAGACCCTCTGCAAAAGAAACACATGCTCTTGACTGCTGAGCCAACATTCCGGCCCAAATTTATGTAATAATACTTTACATTTCTCACACATGCCCCTCATCTCCTTTCTCATTCAGAAGCCTACAATGAAACCAGTCTGGAAACCACACTGCTCAAGCAACATGTGGAGTAGAACAGTATTATAAATCATGATCACAGATTACAAAACAAATTAGCTCCTACTAGTTCCAGGTGCCTTAGAAAAGTAGTATAAGCTTGGCATAGTGGTTCATGCCTTTGGTCCCAGCACTCATGAGACAGAGGTAGGCAGGTATCTGTGACTTCAAAGCCTGGTCTACATAGCAAGATCCAGGACAGCCAGGGCTGTGTAGAGAGAACCTGCAGTAATTATTTCATTTGTATTTTAATATAGTTTGCCTGAAGATCAGAGAGTAATATAGCCACCCTAGTCAGTCTTACAGACCAGACAGTGGTGACACACATTTTTAATCCCAGTAGTCACACTAGTTGCCATAGAAACTGAGCAGTAGTGGTGTAAGCCTTTAATCCCAGGCCTAGAGAAGACTATAAGGTGGGAGGAGACAGTTCTCAGACAGTTTCATTCTGAAGATTTCTGAAAGTAGAATCAATCGCCATTTTGTACTGAGGTAGAGGTAAGAGCCAGAGGCTGGCTATTTTGCTTTTCTGACCTTCAGGTTGAACCCTAATATCTGTCTCTGGGTTTTTATTAATTGTGCTATAAGAAGCTGTCTTTAAAGAGAAAAAAGAAAAAAGACAGGAAAGGAGGGAGGGAGGGGAAGAAAGAAAGAGAAAGAAAGAAAAGTATTAGAAACAAAATAAGGGTTTCTAACCTCAGATGGCTTCTCTCAATAAAGAATTATTTAGTTGTCAGAGGAGTCTCTCAGAGCTACGTCTAAAGTACACTCTCGGAAGGGTTCAACAGCCAACAAGCTGTGCTCTTCATGCAGCAGGGTATCCCTGGGTAGTACAGAAGATCAAATGGATATAAGAACAGTCAATACCTTGTTTGAATCCTGGAATGGTGGTCTTGCTTGTAATCTTAGCATTCAGGAAGCTGAGGTGGATAAATCATGAGTTCAAGGCCAGCCTGAGCTACCTTAGACCATATCTCCAACAATTAAAAAAAAAATTATTTCTTCAGCAGGTTCATTATCTGAAATACAGTTTTTCATGATTTATCAGAGAATCAGATAAAGCAAAGAAAAGGAATATGTCCAATATCAGACACCATATTAAAAAAATAAATCAGAGGCTAGCAGGATAGCTCAGTGGGTATAGACACCTGCTTCCAAACCTGACCACCTGAGTTCAATCCCCAGGATTCACCAAGTAGGAGAAAACCAATTTCCACAGGCTGTCCTGTGAACTCTCCATATATGCCCTTCACTTGCACACAAATACATACACACCAAAATAAATAAGTAAATAAATTTAAAAATAAGTAAATAAATGCCTGTGGTTTGTTTAAACTTGAAAAAAATAAGGGATATAGCTCAGTGTGCAGAGTTCTTGCCTACCAGCAGAAAGTTCTGGGTTCAAACCCCAGCACCAGATAAAGCAGACCTGGAGACAGAAAAAAAACAAAAACAAAAAACTGTGATCCCAGCCTCCAAGAGGTAAAGATGACCAAGTCTAAGGTCATTCTCAGCTAAGCTTAGCTACACAGCTAAGAATTAGATTGGGAAACATGAAACACAGTCCCTCCAAAATAAACCCAACTTTTGTCTGCTTAGTGTCTTCAAAAAAGTTCTGAGACCACTTTAACATGCACAACCCAAATGTTTTTCAGAATTGTCTTTGAATGGCTTGGATCTGAACGACTTTTGTTTATAAGGCAACACTTTTTTCCCCTTTCGAGATAATCAATGTCTATGTAACCCTGACTGTCCTGGCACTCACACTGTACATCAGGCTAGTCTTCCAGCACAGGGACCCTTACCTCCAAACTACTCAATCAGATGAAAAGCATGGGCCACCCACACACCTGGCAAAGGCAGCTTCTTCAACACCTCTTCATCTGTTTTGTTTTGAGACAGGGTTTCTGTGTGTAGCTGTCCTGGAACTGATCTGTAGACCAGACTAGCCTTAAACTCACAGATCTGTCTGCCTGTGCCTCCCAAGGGCTAGGATTAAACATGTGAACCACCACCTCTCCAATTCTTAATCCAACCATTAAATTGGGCCCTGAAATCTGTTCTAACTCTACATCATTCATATATGAGAAAGTATAAATGCAAACTAAAGTTCATGTGTGTAGTTCCGCAGGTGCCTTCTACTTTTTGAGACAGTGACTCTCATTGGCCTGAAACTCTGCCAAATAAGTTAGGCTTAACTAGCCAGCTAGGACTCTGCCTACATGGATGGCCATCACTGTATTACAGGCACATACCAGTGCGCCCAGCTTTTTACCTGGGTTCTGGTGATTTGAACTTGGGTCCTCATACTTCTGAAGCAAGCAATTTACTGACCAAGCCATCTTCCTAGTCCTGTAGGTCATTTTTTATGTTCAGTACTTGGCAGTCACAATTTTTCCCCTCCAGACAGCCTTGAACACAAAAGATCATGTTTGCGTTTGGCCTAAAGCAATGAAAAACAACAACAACAACAACAAAAACTAGTAAGACAAACAATTCAGTAAAAGAGTAGATAAGAGCAGAAGCACAAAGGCTAAGATTCATAAATTTCATTTCTATTCCACCAGAGTAGCCACCTGTCACTGGGCACCATTCCAGTGAAACAGACTACCACCACATACATACCTCACAGGTGCTCTGAAGGCTGAACTGATCCTAAGTAATACTCCAGATACTGTGTCCAGTGGCCACAACCAACCATCTACATACGGCTAATCGTTACATTAAACCTCTAGAATTGACACTCATGTCAAGTAACGTAATACAAGACCACAAATAAATTGTTTTTGTGTTGCTTAAAAATCAGAAGCTTGGTGCACAGGCTGTAATCTTAGTACTTGGGGAGGTGGACAAAAGGTTCAGGAGTTCAAGGCCATCCTAGACTACGTGAGACTGTCTCAAAACAACAAAACTTGGGTACTTGGACTGGGAATATTATAATATACCCAGTGACAGAACACGTACCGGCATGTAAAAGTCCTGTGCTCAAACCCACTACTGGAAGAAGATGAAGGCCTAAGAGGAGCATGGTAGTGGCACATCTGTAATCCCAGCACTAAGGTGGCTGCAGCAGAAGGACTGTCCTGGGTCCAACTTGGCTATACAGCAATTCTCCATCTTAAATTAAAAACAAACAGGGTCTGCAAATATGGCTCAGCAGATAAGAGGAATGGTTGCTCTTCCAGAGGACCAGAGTTCAATTTCCAGCACCCATATGGCAGCTCACAACTGTCTGCAATCCAGGTCCAAGTAATCCAAGACCCTCACAGACATGCAAGCAAAACACCAATGCACATAAAAGAAATAAATAAAACAAAAACAAACAAAAAAACCAGGTACATCAGGGTCAGTGAGATGGTTCATTGAGTTCTGCCAACCCCAGAACTAGGCAAAGTTGTCCTCCGATACATACATACATACATACAGACAGACAGACAGACACACACACACACACACTCACCCATGCACTAATCCACACACATTCACAAAATAAATGTAATTTAAAAAATTTAAATCAAGTAAACGACTTTTTTATTTTTTTTTATTTTTTTTAGGACAGAGTCTTAAAACTCCAGATCCCTCTGCCTTCACCTCCCAAGCGGCTGGTATTTTCAAATCTCTTGCAAAATGAAATTGACTATATTCACATATATATCAACTCTCCAAACTTTCCATGAAAAACAGCTACATCCAATCACTCAAATCACTGATAAAAAAAAAAAAAAACTGGGCAGTTGGGCTTGGCACAAACAATCCAACACAGACCTCAATATCAGGCCACTTTCCATAACTCTCGCAGCCTGAATTAATCATTTACCTTCCTCGTGGTAATCTGACAACCAAGTCTTCACCACATGTAAAACACAGCTATGTTGTAAAGTTCCTATTACAGTATCAGGGCAACTGACACTTTAAACAATAGTAAATACACAAGGCAAGACACACACACACACACACACACACATACACACACACAAATTGATGGTAAATTGAGATACCGATTCTCTGGAAAGCGTAATTCTCTAGACAAAACTGAGGAGCAAGTCGACACCCATCCAAAGAAAAGGCCTTAGTGCACAGAACGCTACAGCTGAAACCGGAATTCCCGCGAACTAGAGGAAGGAAAATGGGGGAACCTCTGGGTGCGAGATGACCTGAATTCTCTCGGGAAGAAAAGCAAGCAAGAGGCGTACCGACCCAGAGTCGATTTTTAGGCCTGTGGCGCTTCAGGGAGGGGCGGAAACAGTTAACCATTTTCTAGTGGGCTCGAAAACGCCAAATAAAAGGCTCGATTTGTGAACGCGATTGGGGATTCAAAGGGTCTGAGAGAGGAGGCGCCTTCTCAAGACGAAAACCGAGGCATTCTCCGGAGAAGAACGGCCTGGGAGGCGGGAAGTGGCGGGGACCCAAAGCGCGGGCACCGCTCGCGCGCAACAACGACGGCCAGCCGAGGCACTTACGCGGCCGCCTCTTCCGGAGGCCCTCGCCGCGCGGGCGGACGACCGAGGCGGTGCCGCTGAGGGAGCCAGGCCGCTCC